TTGATATCCTTTCGTACAAGGCCTATAGGTGTCTATTCGAATCAAGGCTCGTTTGATGTCCCACGCACTCCCATATGCCTCTGAGTGACACTACTNCCGATACTGATCCGAGTAGTCTTGCCTGCGCCGTTACACTTACTAATATTTAGAGGAAATTTTCAAGACATAAATTATGATAGCAATTTGAATCTATTGCATTATTATTGTATATATATCTATTACTAACCACTTTTCTAAGCTTTGTAAACGGAGTACTCGCAAGCCTCAGGGTTCGTCTCCTTGACAGCTCTAGCATTCAGCTCAACACAACCCTCGCTACCGGCCGGCTTGTCATTGCCCGCAAGCCAGACCTTCCAGCCTGTCAACTTGTCACCGTCAGCTGGGGGACAAGCCTGGAAAGCCGTAACGGCACCATTGCCGTTATCAAAGACAAGGTCGCTAGTCTCGGTAATCTTGAAAGGACCCAACTCCTGGTTGCGGCCAATATTTGCAGGGAGGCCGGTGGTGTATTGTATGTTACCTTGGCCCATGCCAGAGCGGTCGACGAATATCTCCTGGGCTTCGAAGTTGTCGGGCGTGTCGCCGGTGTAGAGGAAGAGGAGACCCTGACCGTTGAGGACGAACGACGCATGGTCACGGGGGAGTCGTGTAGTGCAGTTTGCGCTCTGGAAACTATCGCCGATCAGGAGGTCGTTGTTCTTGGCTTGGAAGGGCTCGCATTCGATCTCATTGGCGACCTTGGGGAGAGCCACGAGCTTAAAGACGTCGCCGGGGACGACGGCTTCAGAGATGGGGGGCAGGTTGCAGTCCTTTGCGGATGCGAGAGCCATGGTGACGGCGGCGATTGTGGCGGTGGCGTACTTCATGTTGAGGTATGTTTGATAGCTCGTTAAGTGAATTGGAAGCGAAAGTTGGATATTGTTGTAGATTGTATTAGCAAGTTGTGAGGTACTGCGTCTCACTTTTTATACGTCTTTTGGTCTCGTATGCGGATCCCTTGCAATGACGAAGGTGGTCCATCTCGGCGCTCATCTAGGCTATGATCCGCAACATCGTAAGCTCATATGACCGAGAACACGAAGCTTCGCGCAAACGTTATTGACCACTACCCCATAATAAGTCAACGTCACCCATAAGCAGGGCCCCCCTGCTTTTTTTTGGGCTAAGGAAATCTATCGTATCTTATGCTCGTAAAGTAAAAGGAAAGAAAATATATTTCTCTTCTCTTACTCTTTTTTCACTCTCTCTACTTCCTTCTTTTATCTTCTACCTCTCTTTTCTTTCTTTATTAAAATAATAGTAAGAAAGAGAAAGTAGGTAAAAAGAAGAGAGTAAAGGGAAGGAAGAGAAGAGAGAAGAGAGAGGAGAGTAAATTACCGCGCTACGTAGTATAGAGTACGAAAACATAAATTATACTAGCTGAGATTAAAAAGTACCGTATTAATACATACCCCTGCTTATGGGGTGACGTTTACTTATTATTGGGGTGGTCAATAACCTTTGCCGAAGCTTCGTTACCCTAGCAAAGGCTAACATCGCTATACTTGGCGGAGGAAATACCTACAACCCCGTGAATACGGAAGCTGCAGGGAAGTAACCCGTGTATCGGGGAAATGTTTGCAGGGTGATGATCAGTGGTTACGGAATGAGCTTACGATCGACGACACACGGATCGGAACATGCGCAGGTAATGCGCATAAAAATAGATTTTAAATTGCCGTCGTTGCCGGTATTGCGGTGTAACGTGTACTGCGTGTGGTCAGTGCGTGCAACAGTTCAGCCAATGCAACACCATTTACCCCATCAAAATATCCACCCATCATTTTCAACACGTGATAACTCCACCACTATGACAGCTCTTGTAAAAGCGATTGCGGCAATTAACTCATAAGCCGCAGAAGGCTAACTCTTATATCACGCAGCTGTAAAAAGGTTTAGTGTTAATATTACAATATTAACGCGCCGGCACTAAAATAAAACACAGTTGTAACGGGCT